CCCCCCCCATATCCACACACCCCCACCCCAGGGGTCCTAGCCACCAGCGACTCACCGGGGACCCTGGCAGCAGGCCAGCACCAGGTAGGTCACCAGGAACACGGCACTGCAGAGAGAGACGGTGGGTGTCAGCCCTGAGACCCCCTCACCAGGACAACGTCCCCCCCCCGGGCTGGAAGGCTGCAATTGTGCAGTGCCAGCTGCCAGAGGGCACCCCGGGGGGGGCACGAGCCAGCAGACCCCGTACTCACTACGAGGCATAGTAGATGGCGACATTCCTCTGGACGAAGGAGCGGACAGGGGAGCTGTGGGATGGGAGGGATGAGCGTGAGGCAGGGGGTACAGCAACTAATGTCCCCTCGGGACCCCCCCCAGGGGACACGAGGGCAGGCTGCCCCCCTTGTTTGGGGCAAGGCTAAGGAGGGACCCCCCACTCACACAAAGGTGAACACGGCGATGATCCCCACCGTCACCAGTAGCTGCAGAGAGATGATGGCGTAGACCTGCGAGAGATGAGGGGGATCAGCACACAGCCCCCCACCCTGACAGATGCTCCCCCACCCTGACGGGTGCCCCCAGACCCCCGGGACTTGCCTTGCGGATGAAGGTGTGCCGAACTTTCCTGTCATCCCAGTCAGCCGACTGGAGGGGGGAGCCATCCCCAATGCCATCATCACCTGCGGTAGGGGACACCCCTCAGCACCAGGGTGGGCTGTGCAGCCCCCCTACAGCACCCCTGTTTCTAGTGCCCCCCCAAAAAAAACCCCAAGGTGCCCCCACTTACCGAACCGAATAGGCATGGTGGGCATGGTCATTCCCGGCTGGGGGTACCCCCCTGCTGCAGGGTATCCCCCGGGCTGCGGGTACCCCCCGGCATAGTGGGGGGGCTGGGGGTACCCTCCCGGGGGTGGGGGATAGAGGGGGTTCTTGTCATCGTAGGGGGGGGGTGCAGTGGGCTGTGCCATGCCAGCTCCCTGCGTCTCCCACGACCACCTGGAGGGGAGAGAAGATGGGGGGGTGTCAGCGTAGGTCCCCCTCCCTGGGCAGAACGTGTCCCCGGTGAGTGGAGCCGCAGGTGCAGGGACACAGGGGACAATGGAGCCGCAAAACCTCCCCTCCCACCTTAATAGCGGCTTCTAATTAATAAGGACGAGCTGGCCTCAATGTCAGCAGGTCAATGAGAGGTGAGAGACGTCCCCACTGTCCTTTGGCCGGGGCCACCTGCATTCCTGTGGCCTGAGTCCCCGGCACCTGCGTCAGTGGCCAGCCATGGGCAGGGCATGGCCACGCGTTGACTCAAGCCGCAGCGGGGACGTGACTTCTCCGGCCTCTGGAGCCCACCCTGCCATCGCCGGGGGGCAGGGAGCACCCCCACCCTCCCCACACCCTGGCTGGTCTCTGGCTCCTGGTGGCACCACCCCGGTGACAAAGGACATCACCCTGCCCGCTGCCTGGGATGGAAACACGGGGCCTGATCCTGATCACACCCATGCCCCCTCCCCCCATTTTGGGAGTGCACCCCACCCAGCAGCCCAGTGGGTCATGCAGGGGCTCCAAAACTCCTGAGTCCCCCCAGGGAGTTATAGGGACAAGAGCCACCCGCGTCACCTTGGAGGGAGGTGGATGCGTCCCCCCGGGGAGGGGAGCCAGGACCCCCCTGGGGCTGAGCTCCCCTCCCCGGCCACGCCGGGCCCCCTCGCAGAGCCCCCGGCAGCCGCGAGCAGCCAGCCCAGGCCCAGGGCCAGCTGCTGGGCTTGGCCCCAGGAGGAGGAGGAGGAGGAGAAGGAGGAGGAGGAAGGCAGGATCTCCAAGGCCAGGAAAACAAAGGCGCTGCCAGGAGCCAGTGCCAGGCCTTTACCCACCTGCTACCCCCTGGCGCTGGCACCGGGGGACACTCGCCCCGAGCCCCAGGCAGGTGCCAGGACCCCCCACGTTCCCCCCTGCCTGCAGCAGGGATGTGATCCTGGGACGGATCGCGGGAGGGGACCAGGATCTGACCCCAACAGGGACCAGACTGGGAGGGGACGGGTGCTTCCTCCAGCATGACGCCAGCGCTTCCCGCAGCCGGGCTGGGCAGGCAGCAGTGCCGGGGTGCACACCCGGGCCAGCCATGTCAGGCCGGGGGGAGCAGCTCAGCGTCTGTCCCTCCATCCCTCCCGCCGTCCGGCTGTCCCAGCCACGGCCGCGCTGGACTTTGCCATCGCGATGACGGCGGTGCCAAAAATAACCGGCGTGGCGCTGACCACCTGGCCGGGAAGTTTCACTTTTGCTGCTCGGCGGTTTCCCAAAAAGCACCCAGTGCTCCCTGGCACTGCCTCGTCTGTGGGGCCAGGGAAGGGCCCGAAATAGGAGCCTGACCCCAGGAAAACCCCTGTGACTGGCACCCAGTTAGGGGGGACTGGAGTTCCCGGGAGGGAACCCAGGCATGTGGGGAAAGCAGCATGTACCGAGCAGGCACATGGTCACTGGGGGGTCCCACCCTGTACCCATGGCCAGCACCCCGTGGCAGGGGTCCGGCTGCCCCAGCCCCTCCTGTCCCCACCCTGGCGGGGTGGCCTCAGGGATGGGGCAGGAACCAGCCTGACGGGTCTCTGTGGCCACCGCACCCAGGGAGGCAGGCGGCACCCGGCACCCTCCCCGGGCCACGGCACAGCGGGTCCCCAAAACTAGAGGTCACCAGCCACAGGGCCACCAGGGCCAGCTCGGTGGCCCCAGCATGATGCGCCATCCCTGGGGACAGGGCGCTGCTCTGCACTGGCACTGTGGCTCAGCACAGATAAGGCGCATGTGGCAGGGACCTGGAGCGCAGGCAGCCATCGCCCCCGGCACAGCCACGCGGGTGGCACCAGGCAGAGTCCCTGCCGGCGACCCCGGTGTTCCTGCCCGGCTCAGGCCCCTGCGGCCCCAAGAGCCACCTTGGAGGGGGGAACTAGGGTTTGGGGGGAAGTCCAGGGCTGCCCATCTTCCCCATGTCTCCCTACAGTGAGGCTGCTTGGGAAAGCATCTGACTTCCCAGAAGAGCCTGGAAGCTCCCACCAGCATGGCACAGCTTGGTACGGCACAGCATGGCTTGGTACAGCACGGCACGGCCTGGTACAGCACAGCATGGCTCAGTACGGCACAACCCAACACATCACAACACAACTTGGCCTGGCTCAGCCCAGCCCAGCCCAGCTCGGCAGGGCTCACGCCGGGGGGGTCAGCACGGCCCACCCAGGCCATGTTCCCCTGCTGCCTGCCCCCAAGCCGCTCACACAGGACACGAGTTTGCAAGACCTCAGCATCGCTGCTGCCTCTCTGCCCCCACCCCGAACACCCACCCGGGGGGCAGAGGCATGTGACAGAGGTGCCCCCCTGTGTCCAAGCCCAGGCACCCCGACAGCACCCAAAGCTGGTCCCCACACACCCCCCACGGTGCCACCCCACACCCTGCCGGGCACAGACCCGTGCCCTCACCTCCTGAGACACCCCACGGGGTCCGTGGGGACACCCGCACAGCACAAAGGACGGTGCCCCCCTCCAGACCACCCCACGCCGCGCCCTGATTTCCCACCACGCGATCCCGTGGAGCCCAGAAAACGGCACCAGCCCTACCGCGAGGTCCCACCCGTGGGGGTCCTGTTCCCCTGCGTCCCTGCCCGCGGAATCCCGCTCTGCCCCCGCTCCCCACTCCGCGCCGGACTTCG